AACTACAAACATTACCTGACACACACACACATACACACACACCAAAACTCACACAAATATAAAAACACCAAGTTTATCCAAGTAACATATGCTTGTTTACGTACGTGTTTGTATGTTTGTGTGTAAGTGTGTTTGTATGGTTTGTATATGGTTTGGGAATCATTTTAAGGACTCAAAATGGATACGATACTATATTTAGAATCTGTATGAGTTTAAAAAGAAGACGTTCATAAAGTTTTATCGCCCTAAAGATCACAGTTACGCCATGTTTAAAACCATAAATTTAAAACCTGTACAAAATTTGACGTGTTAGGAGACATAAAACTCCCCAACACACATTATATTTTCCTCAGGGCATTGGTGACTTGACTATGATTCGTGTACTTGAGATATTATAAACAACTCTATTACACCCTTACACATGCAAGACCTAAAAACATCAGGTTTAACTTAAAACCCTTGACCTGACCCCCTTAATACATATATCTTTATTTACATTTAGAACTTACAACTTTATTAGAAACAAGAATACAAATAAGTTATCAAATAAAAATGATAAAAAAATATTTATTACATTTCTCAGGCGAAGAAAACAACTGTACATGTACTGTATAAAGTTTGGTCGAGTAGTAATGTATGTGTGTGAAGTTCGCACAATATAAAGACACTAACATGGGAGAAAATTCACAAGGGACAACAGATAAACAGACCTACGAGAGAGAGAGAGAGAGAGAGAGAGAGAGAGAGAGAGAGAGAGAGAGAGAGACATGAGAGAAACAGGAAATCACTGGGTATAAACTATTTTCAGTACTGCACTACTTATAAGCACTCTCCCTCAGTATATTGGATAATCTTACTAGTTGGTACCAAAACATGGCTAATACTATTTGTACGTGGCCTTGATATTCAGGAATGAACCTCAGTAGGAAGCTGACTTTGAATGTCAGAGTAAGATGTCAGCGTTAACAATTTACAGAGGCAAAGGGGAAAAAAAACCAAGTCGTTACTGCAAGAGGGGAAAGCTGGAGACAGATGCATCGACCTTGCGGCTAGAGAATGCCATCCCCTCTACGATATAAAGGCCATTCCAAGAGCGATTAACTAGGGGAATCTGACTCTTATTGTCTCGGCATGTTCTAGTTGTGTGGCCCCTGCTCACCCACACTACCAGCGGGGCTTCCCATTCTCCGTACACCCGGCGGAAGTCACAACAGATGGCAACACCAGAACTGCTTAGGGACTTCGTCTTATGGTGTCCTACGCTTATGTGTTTGGTTGTGTTTCCTACATTACCCAGCTGACCACATACACGGGGAGACGAGTAGAAGATTGATGCATGACCATACTAGGTGACGTTCAACGATACATGTAACCGTAATAGGCATGGGGGGAAAAAGCTGTTAAGTACTGGTGGTAACATCCTACCTCAGCCACCCTGAGGAGCGCCATTTTCCACTGGCAGCCATTACGGAGTGGCGTGCGTCACCCTCCTGCTGTTGCGACGCCCATAGGAAGCTGGAGATAGTAACTGACTTTTAGTGGTCTGGGAACACACAATGGGCGTGCTGGCAAAGGATTCTTGATACGGCCAATGCTTTGTGTATTTTATGGACATTTTATTAGGCCTTCACTTACAGAGTGCTCTACCGCATGGTGGGCGCGTGTTCTTAGGCTATTGTTGGGAGGTGCTGGCCAAGGTTCATGGTCCCTACTGACTTACGAGGCCGCGGAACATTAGGATTTTTTACTCAAAACCTTCGCCTCCCTGTGTTGTTTGAGGTCGACAGGGAAACCAGAGTTAAAATGCCTCTGTCCACTAAACTTATATGTGCATTATAGTCAAACCATTTCTTCGTAATTAGGACTGTATAGATAGCAAATATACGAACTGAGTACCATACTAAACTTTCTGTTTTCATGGTATATAACTGAATAATACAAAACATACAAAAATAATGCATACGTTAACCTTCACATCTGTGTTAGTGAAAATGAATTCCTTTCTGTAGTGTATTGAGTAAATCTTTTTCTATTCATATAAGCCAAAATTTTTCTATTGACTGAATTTATGACTTATAAGACATGCTGAATCTCCTCATATCTGTAGTATTAATACCAGTTGTACCAGTCCCTACCCCCCCCCCCCCATCACATAACCATATAAACAGTTTTTCTAGGCTAATATCGACCCTGGTCACCCATTACTAGATAAGACTATCACTGCTAGAAGGAGTCGTTCAATAAACCGCGAGGTGGAGAGGTAGACTGACTCGAGTTGACAAGAAACCAATCAGTCGAGGTGAACTTGGTCAAGAGTCACCCACAGGAATACAAGCCACACCCATCCACACTAAACTTCACTAATCACTGACCTTAACGAAATACTTCAGTTCATCTTGTATTTAACTTGTAGTAGTACTAGAGTGACTACAGTATCTGTTAATGCAAATTGTATGTCTTATCGAATGACACTAAAGAAACGGAACTCAATCGGCTAAGCTACAAATATAATTCACCAAAACCCCAGAAATAATCACCGACACGACACCTGGTTTAAGCGCTATTAACGATTTCCTTCACTTATGATTATGAATTATAACTGGGACTCATAACCTAGATTTAATAATAACTATTTGGAGTAACTCTGCGGGCCTGGCTAGTCAAGTTCCAGTAAGGCAGTAAGAGGTCGAGTCCTGCCTTATTTCTATATCTGAAGATTTAACTGATCTCTTCCCCAACCACCCAGTAAATGAAGTCGAATTTCAGCGACATCAATCAAGACGTTAACCTCCCGAGGCGAATATTTTAAAAGTCTCTCAAGTATGTTATTGAAGGTAGTGGGTCAAAGTCAATTATGTTTATCAATCATATGAATATTTCTAATCCTGTGATGGATAACCCTTTGAGTTGATCATTGTATTATTATAAAAATCTCATCATAGAGTTCTTGTGTTATTTACTTAAACATTCAAATATGGGTTAACATGAGGAGAAATTTCTCATATGAATTTCATCCACTTCAATTGCACTTTAAAGATGCGTCTACAGTACATGTCTACACACTTCATCGTTTATAAGTTCTCATCAATAATCCACAGTTATGATTTAGTTTTTAAGGTAATACCATTTCTTATACCAGTTCACCTTTAATTCACTTGGTGGTCTATAAGAGTCGGCCTCCAGGTACAAACAGGTAATGTCTTTCATCAGTATGATCTGTTTTACTTCCTGAAGCTTAAGCATGAAAAATTTAGACCAACGTACAATTGTGGTGTTTACCTCCTGAGTAAGACTTCAGTCACTTCAGTATATTATCTGATGACCGAGTGTTTACTAGAGAATTGCTCACACATAAGGAAGACACTAGTATAATTATATCGAATCATTTATGATAATATTCTAAGATTTATACTTCACGAGGATTGGATTTTTCTTATCTATCTAAGTTTATTGTCAACTTTATTGATGTGTCTGAGAAAAAGTTTGCATCTCCATTTGGAAAAACAGACGATTTGAATTAAATAGAGAAGACAACAGCATGAAAATTTATTATAGTAGCAAAAAAATCGCCAAGTGTGAATCTTATACGCAGACTGAAAGATGATGAATATACTGTAGGTGCGCGTGATCCATGTGGTTATCAGCATGTATATATATATATATATTATCAAGAAAGAGATAAAGGAAGTTTTATGGTGAGGAGGATAAAAAAAACGAAAATTGTGTCCACCACCAATGGCTGTTTTTCCCTTCAAGGTGTAATATTGAAGTCGTGGTGAATAGCCCCGTGACAAAGATGGCCCTCTGTCCATTTTTTCCCTCCATACCCTTTAGTTACTGGCATAGAGACCTCCCTTTGTACTCCTTTTATCTCTGCCCTTTCCCTTCCTCACCTCTCTTTAGCATTCCCTTCCCCATTCCCTACCCTTCCAAGCCTCTCTTTAAGCCATAGCCACAATGGCGGTGGACAAAGCTGGCCTTTATAACCCAGAATTAAAAAGGGTGCCGGAGAATGACCAATATGCGACCCGGGAATAGAGGAACCAGCCTTTCTCCCGCTTGGAATATATCTTCATAAAGTCGCTTCACATTGTATTGAAAAGACCATCGATGTGCAGCAATTTACGAGTAAGTGATGCTGCCATTGTACTGTGTATTTCAGTCGATGTACACTGTATTGAGTTATTCAGTGTTGTAGGTAAAGGGGGCCCTACTGTAGTTCTACTTAACCCCAACCTATTCTAACCTTCCATTAGGATTAGGGCCCATTAACAAGAGGTCCCGTTAACATTGGGCTCTTAAGTCTGAGTTCCATTAAGAATCACTAAGATACAGAAGCCTCATTTTAAGTTAGCTTCAGATAATTATTACATACAGTGTTTTATGTAGACCAAAATATAGCTGCACAGGGAACTTATTGAGCTTCAGTCATCTACACATATGACAGCTGGGTATTTTAACTCTCACACTTACGAGAAGTTTGACTCATACAGACGTCCACGAGTCCCATGATGCACAAGAATACCCTATAAATTATTTCAGTCTTACCAGGAAATGACATATTTTGACATGTAATAAATTATCACCAATAAACATCTCTTATTTTACATTCTCAACACCTCGATCAACATGACTGTGAATGTTATCGTACGGCATTTAGGTCTTTGCTGGCACCCAGTCTCTTATGACAACAAACCATTATTTAAGAGCAAAATGATGAGAAGTAGTGATATATCTTAGGCCTTTAACTGAAAGCGTCACTAGAGATACCATCCCTCTCCTCATATCTAAGTTAAGGTACCAAATATAAGATGCAGTATTCATAAGAGAAGTTACTATATTTGTACTAATATTCCTGATCGGCGACTCTAGTTCTGAACATTAAGTTATACAGGATGAGTATAAAGTTCTCTTCCCAACAGAAACATAAGGAGAGAGAGAGTCAATGATTTTAATATTAGTGTAGAGGATGGGACACCACGCAGGCCATGAGTACTTACCCTTCTTTCTGGCTGTTCCTCGCTCTGATGAAGGTAGTCGTTCCATCTTCTCCCTTCCCTTGTGTTACAGGACTTACAGCTTTGCCCCTTCCATTTCTCCCTTCAAAGATAAAGATATAAATAAATTAATTTCAACTCTCACACAAGGCAACAAGCGTTCTAAACAACATCTCACCCAAACACGAGCAGCAGGACATCCCACCTCCACCTCTTATCCTTGTAAAAAAAAAAAAAAAAATGTTCCCTCCTTTCTCCATAAAATAAAATAAAATAAAATACAATACAATACAATACAATAAAATAAAATAAAATCAGGGTCTCAACTCTTCCTAATCAAAGTCTGCAAAAACAGTCAAAGCACGGAGTCACAACAGGGGTCAAACCAAGGTTCACAGCAGGGGTCAAAACAGGGGGGGGGGGACACAGCAGGGGTCAAGGCAGGGTTCACAGCAGGGGTCAAAGCAGAGGGGTTACAGCAGGGGTCAAAGCAGGGGGGTCACAGCAGGGGTCACAGCAGGGGTCAAAGTTCTGTACACTTCTCGGTCACTGTCTTATTCGCTTACTAACGGGAGAAATTTGATCTATGAATGGACAAGACTGTACCAGGGACGCGTAATGGTGTGTTGACAATAAGGTGGATGGTAGAAGACTCACTGCACCCGCTCAAAAATATACAAGATATTATTATAAATGTATCCTTCAACCGCTACAGTTATACAATACAGATATGGAAAATACAACTATACAGTATTTAACATATTAAAATGTTTGGAATTACTAACTTCATTTCTGACTTTGTAAATAACTATTATTAAATCATGTTCTGAGAAAAACAAAAACAAAAAAGTCCAGGAAACAAGTAAAAGACAGTGAAAACGCACGTAAAACTAGCAGAAAAAAATTGGCCTTTCAGACAGTTAACCCGAGGAGACAGTCAGCCCGAGGAGACAGTCAGCCCGAGGAGACAGTCACACTCACTACCGTAGATATAGAAAGATTGGATACTTTTTGTGTTATGGGGACGCAAGTGTGATTTATCGTCCCTAAAATCAGATTATGGGTCCCTCTGTTTCATTAGGGGCGCGAGTTTAGGAGGAGTAAATAAACACCAGCGCCACATTACCCACATTTCGTGGTCATCAGTCATTAGGCCTGAGCTCATCCATCATGGCAGCCGGGTGACGTCTACTGTTGCCAGAACTACAATAATAAAAATCCTTGTTGTACTGTTTTTAACTTTACTTTAGTACTTTCATTAAATAGAATAATAATATACAACTTTTTTTGGTGATTTTAACAAGAAAGCATTCCAATAACAGAAATAATTAGGTATTTATAAAGACTTTAATGTATTGAATAAACGCATGATGTGGCAAGTCTCGTTTTGGCACCATGCTGCTCTATTCAGCTCCCGCACCCGACGCACAGTCAATTGAATGTCCAAATGTTATTTCCCAGATTCATAATGGATGGAGATTGACGAAGTGATAGCTGGGTGATTGGTGTTTCGTTAACATAAACTTATGATTACACTCTCTATGGAAAGGCTTAACGAGGAGGGTGGCGAGTGTGTCCCAAGCCTACCTACCGTACTGTGTAATAAGCGGTAGCCTTTTATTACCCACACAAAGACCTCTATGATCACTTTATTTACTAGAATTTGAGCGAGTTATCATTTTAATACTCCAAGTGTCCGACTTAGCTAGTGAGAGATCTTATACCATTCTTACTCCAAATTCCACATATGATATTGGTGATAAATAGCGGAGATATACGACTAACACTTTTCCAGACATTCACACCAAAGGTTTCATATATGACTGGACATAAGGCATGATAGATCGCAATATTTATATAAGCTTGACGTTTCCCTCATAATATTCAGTAATAGTTGGACACAATATTAAACTAATCTCATATCCTAATTTTCCTTGTTAATTATTTCAGAATCAGTTTAATAGTTTTTTTAATTGAACTTGAGATATAACCTTTTTTATATATATACACACAACTCTTACATCCCTCTTATAGAAATGATGATCTTAGAATTTCTCTTCAATATACAGAAAGATTACACTCAGGGTAAGGTGTAAGGGAGATGCATCTAACACACGTCACTGGATGACTGGACTCCCTTGTTGGTTTTATCAGTGACCCATCTTCAGTTCTTTGTACTTCACGCATAACTTTAAATGAGTTATATCTTGGTGTTATGAATCGAGAGATAAAGCGAGAAACATTGACTAATTAACACTGCACAAAGGATGAAAATATATTACCTAGGTGTTTGAATACCAATGCACTTATGTCCACACACACATGTATGTACTCATAACGAAACATACATTCATAGACTGTGGTCACATACTCACTCACATTCAAGTTCTTGAACACACACACACACACACACATCAACACCCTTTTCACCACCTTTTTCCACACAGACATAAAACAGTCACAAAATACAAACAAAGTGTCAAGTCAACCACATCCACCATATATATTAAAAAATACTCCAAACACACACACACACACACACACACACACACACACACACCACTAACAACAACAAAAACAACAAGAACATTTCCTACACATAGCAACACCTAGACAGAAACACATTATCACACCCTCACACACATACAGAACACCCGCCCCCCCTCAGCAAACACACACACACACACACACACACACACAATAATACCAATAATAACAAAAACAACAGAACATTTCCACATAGCAACACTAGACACAGAAACACACACACGGCCCCACACATACATGCTGGTAACACCCCCCAGCAAACACACACACGCACCCCCACACACACACACACACACACACATACACACACAAGCAGAAGCACACTGTCACACACATCTCCCGTGTGTACAAACGCCTCAACACCCGCGGTAGAGCACACACACACACATATACGCCCCGCCGAGGATGTGATTACGCATTTTGACGCCTCCGTGGACCCCTCTCACCCCCTGCTGTTCTTCCCCCTCTACCACTCCCTCCCCTCCTTTCACCTCTCTCCCTCCCTTATTATCCTCCCCCTTCCTCGGCTTTCCCTCCCCTACTCTTACCACCCTTTCTCCTCCTCTCCTTCCCCTGCTTTCTACTCCCTCACTTTCCTGTCCTTCCCACTTTCCCTCTTCGTCATCTCCTCCCTTTCCTCTCGACCAACCTCTTTCTCTTTTCTTCTACCACCCTCTCTTCCCCTGTCCATTTCTTCCCTTTACCATCCCTCCTAACCCCCCCTCCCTCCCCCGCCCTTCACCCACCACACAAGGGGGTCCAACACTCAGGATTACGGCAGCCATTCTGATTTCGGATTTAGGACCCAGGAGGGAGGCCTAGTAGGGTGGCCTCTCCTATTTCCTGATTTATTTGGGACCATTTTGTCTTCTCTTGTATTTTTTTTTGTGTGAGAGAGAGAGAGAGAGAGAGAGAGAGAGAGAGAGACGTTTTTACATTAGTTAAACATTTATTTAATACATATATTTTTTTTTTCAGTATGACCTCCACATCAGGCATGACATTAATGCTAAATATTTCAACGTATTCAATCAAGTTTTCCCCAACGATAATTAAAACACCAATTAATCCACTTACGCAAATAAATCGACGGCTTCTACACTTTAATTCATTTCCGCAAATAAATCGGCGTCCCCTTCCCTTAGACAGAAATAAATCCCCACATCAAATAGTTTTAAGCCTAGCGATAAATTACTCGAACACTAATCCCTCAAGTTTGTGTCTCACCCCTCATACAGAGAGGAGATATATGGGTTATATAACAGTATAGTATATAGCTCCTGATACACCCCTCTTCTCCTTACCTCACCACTGCTCCTCCCCCCCCCCCTCCCCATCCCCTCATTTTATCATCAAAACTTTTTAATTATATATGAACTTTGTATAATTCTACTATATGCTAATTTGTTTTTATTTTTTATTTATTTATTATTATTATTGCTGTTTTTTTTTGGGGGGGGGGGCAGGAGGGGGTGATATTTCTGAGGTTGATTCGTTATGTTCAATGATTTAAATGGGGTCGTTTTGACTATTACACGCACTGTCACGCACGCACGCACGTATCACACACGCATGCGCCCTTTACCACATATTTGCACTCCCTCACTACACTCTCCCTCACCACACACTCCGTCATCACACATTCTCCCTCAACACCAACCCTTACCATACTCTCCCTCACCACACTCCATCAACACACACACTCCCTCATCACACATACTCCCTCACCACACCCACCCCACCACACTCCACCCCACACATACCCTCACCACACCCACCCTCACCACACTCTCCTCACCACACTCCATCAACACACACACCTCCTCATCACACATACTCTCACCACGCCCACCCTCACCACACATACTCCCTCCACCAGTTACTTCGACAACCAAACACATTAGGGATCCATCTCCTTCCTCTGCGTTATCACACTTCCTGTTCCTCTCCTTCCGCAGGCAGGAAGAAGGTTGAAGGGGAGAGAGAGAGAGAGAGAGAGAGAGAGAGAGAGAGAGAGAGAGGATATCCAGTCTTGCTGAAGGTGCAGTTATAGTGTTGTGTTTTCCTCTCTCTCTCTCTATCTCTTTATCTATCTATCTCTTTGTTTGGTTTTCTTTTTCTCATACTGCATAATCTGTGCATCTATCCATTTTTCTCCAATATTTCATTCACATCCTTACATTCTCTTCGTCTTCATTCTACCCGTATTCTCTCGTTCGCCTAATCCCTTTTCTTCCCTTTCTAGCATCGAGCATTTCAATTTCTTGACTTATCTCCTTATACTCGCCCCTCCTCTTCCTAATATACTTTGGCCGTCATATTCTAATTGAAGACTAATCAGTGTGGGCCAGCAGCAAATTTTGGATAAACAGCAAGAATGTCCTCAAGCACCCCTGTTTCAATGTAGTAATTACAAAGTTCATGATACAATAAACCAGGTGGCCTGAAGTCTTTGACAGTGTCACATTCAATAATATAGTGATAGGGTGTATGCTTTAAAGGTTTATCACTGTCCTACATGGCAGTGAACAGTGACATCACCCACATGACTCTGACCTATATATACTGTAAATGAATATGATGTATTTCTTTGTGTATGAACCTCTGTGATACCACCCTCAGTGTCAAGACCTGACTGAATTACTCAGAATAAGCAAACTTTACTACAAGCTTTGTCAATAAATTTGTTAAACTCTTTCTCTTCATTCAGTTTTTCTTCTAACCTCTATTCGTCTCAGGTTTCCCTTTTATTCCTTATCTCTAATCCATATTATCCTTAATTATTCTCTCTTTTTCCTCCCCTCACTAGCCATTCTCTATCTCGCCTTCTTATCCTCTCATCGTCTTCCTCCTTGTCCCTTCTTACCTCCCTTCGTCTCTCACCTTTCTTACCTCACTGTCTATCTTTACCCCTATTCTCCTTTCTTCCCTCTTTAACACCCTTTTCCAATCTCTCTCCGTAATTCCTTCCTTACCCTTCCCCACCACCTCCGCACTCCCTCCCTCTCTCCGCATCTTACCTCATCCTCCACCTTCCTCCTCACCACCCCTATACACGCATTCCCTTCCCTTTCCCTCCCCATCACCCTCTATACCCCCTTCCTCCCTCCATACCCCTTTCCAAACGCTCTTCTTCCTCCCTCCCTCCATACTCTCCTTTCTCCCTCCCTCCTTATTCCCTTTCCCATCCTCTACCCTCCATACTCCCTACCTTCTTCCATCCTTCCTCCCTCCCTCCTTATTCCCCTTCCCTCATCACCTCCGTCGCGACAACAATATCCACAAGGATTCGTCGTGAAGATGGCCTCGTGGAAGTGACAATTTATGGCAACTACTGTGTCGTCTCCAAGGCCGAACATCTCCGAGGGTGTGGGGGGGTTGAGTGTGAGAGAAGTGAGGGAAGTCATGGGGGAGTGATTAAAGGAGGGTGTGAAGGAAGGAGGGGTGAGGGCGAGGAGGATATGGTTGAGTGTGAAGGAGGAAATGCCGGGAGAGGGCGTGGGGGAAGGGGGTGTAGTGCCATAATGAACTACCTTACCACTTTTTGTGCAACATTTGATGTGGCCGTAATAATTCACTTTGCCATTGACAGTTTTTGTTTTCATTATAGATGCCAAATATAAAGGTTTCCATATGTTTCATGGCAATGTTGATATACTATACTGTACACAGCCATTCTATATTTTGTCTACAAGTACGGTAGAGTCAATTGTGAATACAGGTTGACAACCCTTTATCCGAAATTCCAAAAATCGAAAAGCTCTGAAAACCGAAAGTAAATGTACCTATGAATACCATTATGAGCCTGACAGATTTACCAACTTTGAGAACATTAAGTACCCCATAAAATAACCCCAGTCTAGAGCCACCTGTAAACATCACCTTATAGATAACCTCGCCTACCTAACTCAGATGGAGCACAATAGCCTAGTCAGTCTATCCTCTCCATTTGTTGATGTTAGTTATAAAGCAGGACAACGCTTCAACGAATCATTAGGAAGATGTCCCCACACACAACTCTTCCATGACGCCTGCTGGACCACCACTCCACGACCCCCTGACGGAGACACGATGATCCTCCCCATACTGGCCAGATATTATGTACATAACATTGATTACGTGTTAAAGGAATATCCTTCCTTCCATAGGCTTTAGTAAGCCCCTTTATAATATTTATACTGTATATACTTGTCACACTTGCCAGATGCTTCTGGTGTCATTGTACAGGGGTACCTAGTGACAGCACTAGGATCCCGCTTCCTCTATCAAGGAATAAACAATTTAAATTGAAATTGAATTGAATCATTAGGGTTTTTATACACGTATTCTAGATTGGTAAATTCTTCAGTCAACAACAATTAAAATAATATAGTTTTAGATCACTCGTTACTCTGTCAGCTCACAACATTCTCAACTTTGAAATATTAAGGAATTTGAAGGCATTCGTTGGGATGTTCGTATAGCCTAGCCAATAGAAACGAATCCAGGTAAAAAAGTCAGAGGAAAACAGCCACAGAAAAAAGTCACAGAAAAAAGTCACAGAAGAAAAGTCACAGAAAAAAGTCACAGAAGAAAAGCCACAGAAAAAGTAACCTAACCTAACCTAACCTAACCTAACCTAACCTAACCTAACCTAACCTAACCTTACCTTACCTAACCTAACCTACGTGCATTATATATAAATTGTGTTGTCAATATGTAAAAGTCATGTATTGTCAGTTAATAACTGTTTTAAAATATTTTTAGTTTTATTACCTTAAATGTGACTTTTTCCTAGCCAAAACTGTGACTTTTTTTCTGTGACTTTTTTCCTGTGACTATATTACCGTTCACCATCGAAACAACGCCACTCAGTTTTTACTAACACTGTACATCGTTCTTTAATTTCTTCAATAATATTCATACGATTTAAGATGACATTTTTCCAAAGAGCCGATATTGTGGCTATGCCTTAAAATTTTACACAAAAACAACTGATTAAGGTCGAAAATCTATTGCATATAGCCTCGTATCTCACTCATATTTACTGAATGGACAGTTTGTAGTAAAGTTTCTCAGTCATCATCATCATCATCATCAATCAAAGAAGTAATTCCCATAAATAATTCAGAAGTGGACAAGGGAAATTCCAATCTCAGTGCCAACACATTTCTTACCGTTCTGATTCATAAACGGGCAATTTAAATACTAAGCTATCTAATGATTCGTTGAGATTAACAACTAGAATTTAAAATGTCCTCTGATGGGGTAAATATGGCATTAAACAGATCTGTTACCTTTATTTTAGAAATAAGCATTTTTTAACACATTTGCCCAGACTACATGTGTCGACTATGAAAAAAAACAGTGAAAATCCGGATTTTTAAAACCGTTTTCTATCAATTTCGGCCGAGGGTTTGTTAGGGATAATTTACCCTCGGCCTTTTGGTCAGCCGCAAACCTAACTATAGTATGTTTGTTAAGTGTACTGTACATTAATAGTAAGCCGATGTTTTGAGTTAGCTACAGAAATATTTATATTATTAAATTACAACCTAACATACCTATATACAGTACTGCATTATGAATTCGTGAATGAACACACTAAAAACCAGTTATTAAATAAACACAAATATTTTAAGCGTCACTTCACCGGCAAGTGTAGAGGCGCCATTCACTTCATTGACATTAATAATTATTGTATTATATTTTAGTACTTACTTGAGTAGATGAAATGGAGTCTGTGTAATTCATCTTCAGCGTCACTTTACGCAATGATAAACGTCCATAAAGATCCTAACAATTCACTAATTCAGTCCGTTTTCTATATACGTACGTCACTTCATATTTAGTCTGTTAATCTATTGGTATATTCGTTCACTGTAATGTCTAAGCACTCACTCTTTAAATCAATATATGGTAACAACATAGAGCCCAGCCACTCCTCCTAGGTCAAGGGAGGTGTTTACGTGCCTTGGGCCAGGTGACACAGCGTTGGTCTACTAATCGAGGGTCACGTTACGTATATTTCAATACTTAATATCGTTATCTAAACACTTTTAATTGTGTCACTGTACGGTATATGATAGAGTAAGAAAAAGTAAATTATATTTAGAGCATCATTTGGGAATTTATATCGTGTTTAATACAGTATATCAAATAAATAGCGGATGATATTTAACAAGGACTATACACGGATTATGTAATAGTGAATCCCATCGCGAAAAAAAGTTGTATACTGATAGTCTTTTAAATAATATTTACACAACTATTTTTTCCAAACATTAAGTCTTTTACACTTTATATTCCAAAATTATATATCATATATAATCTTACTAAATATTTAATACCCAATTAAGATAAAACAAACGATTAAAATTTGAACCTGGCGGGAAACGGGTGAGCAGTGAGTCACTACCCGCTACTGTCGCTTCCTGTCAGCTCGAGTGAGAGATATACGGAGTATTTTTGCTCTTAAAGTGCTGCACAATGCTTCACGCTGACAATATCCGAACAAAACACTGTACGGAAAACTATAGTCACGACAAAGCAACCAAAAAGTCAGATAAAAACAGAGATAAAGGTACAAATTCAATTAATATAATAAGTATAGCGGCACCGATGATTAAGACGCCGATACGTTAACATCACAATATACAGAAATATATTACCAACTATAATGTATTGGATTGTTATCGTTGTATAAGTGACGTCAAGAGATGGAATTCACTTCACTTTACCTCGCCTATATATGTAAGTACAAAAATTGATTGAAATAATTATTGTAGTGATTGGCTGTTGCAAATTTGTTCGATTTTGTTCTGAAGTAATGATGTTTTTTGAACTGAGTTTATTCATAATCGTTGGGATGACTGTTTCTGGCGATAAAGATATTTAGGTAAATTATATAAAGATACTTATATTTATTATCTTAAACATGAGCACGTAGGAAGTTTTTATGAATTTTATACATGAATTAATTGTTATACTGGTAGCAATATTCACGCTTTCGGAGAATGCATTTAATATATACGTACTTATATTTACCCACAATAAGGAATACTAAGACAAATTACGTATCAGTAATACTACATTATGTAAAAACTAATATTTTGAAAGAACATAATCACATTGAAATATTACACGGCCGTAGCAGAGGCAAAAAATATGAAGTTCGCGTCATGTTTCCCGCCTCCGCTGACGGCTGTTCGCTCGAGCGGTCATGTCTACCACACTCATCCACCAATTTCCAGGGGCCGTGTAATATATTTCAGTGTGACTGGTCTTTTAAAATGCTTACCTCATTCGTGTTTTCGGTGTTCAGATGAGGGGGGGGGGGTGGTCCATGAACTCGAAAGCGATTTTGAACCTTTTTATAGTTTAGGAAAGGTTAGGTAAGGTCTTCAAGGAGTTGTTTGGTGTTCTTTTTAGTATTTTACCCCACATTGTGACGTTTCAATGCAGAATATTGAAAATTTAAAGGGCATAAACATCTCCATTAGAGAAAAGTATTTCTTCTTTCTTTCTTCTTTTTTTTTGAATGCGGTACATGACACGGAAAAGATGCTCAACTTATCATGCTGATGTTGAGAGTTTACCAGTGTATTGTTTGTTTGAATTATTGACTTTTTAACTACTTTTACAAAATGCTTATCCAATATTTTTTCCGTGATTTTGTGTAAGTTGTAAGAAATAATTTCAACATTAAAGACTCTGTCGCTGGCATTTTCCTAGTTCAACAACTTAGCTTTGGAAATATTGTTTTATTATCGTCTATCTTTTTATTTATTCTTATTGTACCACACTGATTTCTTTTTAAATAATTTTGTAATTTTTCTGTGTTGTATTATTGTAAAATTTTAATTTTATCGAACAGGTTTAACATCACTAATATTACCATAATCCAATTCCTGTAAACGGGAGACATCATTACATACCTTACTCAGTACATTCTGTTTATGACCTAAATTCCCGAACAACGGCGTCAATGTTCCTTGGATTTCTTTCTTCACTTACCTGTACAATATATTGAAAACTATTCAATTATAAAATCATTCAAGTAAATTAGACGATAAAATAATATTGCGGGTGGCTCCTTCGGTGATTACTAGGCTTGCTGTAATAACAGATGGTAGAGTTACTCCTTTAGTTAAAAAAATCCTTTTAAGTTAAGGTTGTACAGTAATAAAATAATATACATAATTACCATTTTTCCCAAGATTACCCAAAGACCCTCCAATAAGTGCCAAAAAAAAAATCGGTCTGTCAGTTTGATTTGTCTTTTCATAATATCGTTTGTTGATATACCCGAGAGTGAATTATTTACTCTGTTGTTGTTTAGTAATTAACATATTGCACTATACTTTAGTAATGTTGGTTGAAACAGCCTTATCATTGTAGTCAACGTTCAGCTTAAATTCGGCTATTTCTGTTAGGTATCTCGCCTCTTTGTGTTTATATACAATTTATTGGGTAACATTAGAGTATTACACAGAGAAGTCAGAGTGAAAAGATGTAGTGAATCAATATGACGTCCATAAACAAACTGCCAGCTGATCTGTAGCGATGTGCAACTCTTCTCCATCACACGATTTGTATAAGCTAAATTATTTTTTGTTAATTTCCTCGCCTTATATCACGGAAGAGATCAATTGAACCCCATCTGTGTGACCCTCCAGAACAAACACATTAAGCACTCCAATTACAGTTCAGGCACAGTGAGGGAATCACCCACAGGTTCTTCCCTCTGCTCAAACACTGAAAACCTATTAGTTGTTGATACCGGGATGACGCCCTGCAGGGTGTGCCGCGTTGTACCTATAATTTTATCCAATATACAAATATTAACCTGGTAGTGAATCTTTTATTTTTGTTCTATGGTACAAATTCTGTTTTCTTCCCTGTGAATGTTAATTAATGTGTTGACGATGTCAATTTTCGTTTTTCTTAGTAAAATCCAGCGCTTCAGATCAGATCGCTATAGTTACTATTTCCCCACGAACAGAGGATAATAACACGCATACTAACAGGAAGGAAAATAACATATTCAAGTTATAATGTCAAACATATACGTCAGAATAATCCACAGTAATAATACAGTGAAGAAAAATTTAAACCTCTGGTGAAATGTGAATATCTTCATATACTCTGAGCATGTTACTGTTGTACTGAAGCAATGTACAAGGGGCTACTAACTCCCAGCTTCTTAATTCAAATACTTTTTTATTTATTTATTTATTTATTGGGCACTCCCCTACATCCTTGTGTAAGGTGAAGCGCAGAAGCGTTTACAGCGCCCAACAGGGAAGCATGCTAAGTTCATGCTTGCCTTTATGTCTCATGAGTTAAGGGCGTAGAAGCCTGAAGAGTCAAGGGCATAGAAGCCTAAAGAGTCAAGGGCATAGAAGCCTGAAGAGTCAAGGGCATAGAAGCCTGAAGAGTCAAGGGCATAGAAGCCTGAAGAGTCAAGGGCATAGAAGCCTGAAGAGACAATGGTTTATGTCATCAAGTTATTGGAAGCTCCAACAACTTGTCCCTGAAAACGAATTCGCAACTTTCGACTTACACCAGGTACCTACTTTACTGCTAGGTGAACAGGGACTAATGGGGGCTAGGAAGTATGTCCATTGCCCAAACAACTTCCACCTGCCCGGGAATCGAACCCGTGACATCTCGCTTGCTAAGGCAAGAGCGGTACCACTCTACCACCAGCACCCCAAATTCAAATACTGTAAGCTTTAATGTAGTCACGTGATACAAAACAACACATAATAGTGACTAAAGTTAAATTTTTATTTTATATTTTTTATTATGACGTCATCTTAGTGTATGGGAATGCGCTTAAATGTTAGTGATTATGTGCTCATGCGTTTATGTGTGCGTATCTGTGAATACAGTACCTTGTGTGCCTAAGTGTGTACTGATAATGCTGTAATACAACAAATTTTAGAAATTTATTTATATATATTTTGAATTTTTAAGACATTAGTATTTTATTTTTACTTCTGATTAATGACAACAAGAGTTCAGTGTTGACATACAGTAGTTTAAGTAAAATAGCAAGAATTTCCGCCTCACTCCATTAACCTGTATAGAGAATAGCAGTGACTTATGACTCAACTTCCCAAATTAATAAATCCTCCATTGGTTATCATTTTGTCCGTATACCCGGTACCTAATTTTCTTTTATATATGTGAATTATTTTTTAACGCGCCCACAGATAATCCCACTCACACAGTACAATAAAAAGTTATTGGTCCTACGATTAAGGATAATGGAAGTTAGCTAGTCACTTAATCCTTATAAAAGCGAGATCGTACACTCTGTTGTTGGAAAGTAATCCACAACAGGAAGATGAGGACGAAGAGAAAGTCCATAGTTAATCCAATGTAAAGTGCAAACTTATTAAAGAAATTAATAAGGTTAATTATTTTGAAACGGCCACCGATGATCGAGACTTCTTGGCAGGGTTTTGGTTGTCTCCAAGCCTCGTGCAGTTTGAGGCCTTTCACTGGCTTAGAGGGATCGTAGACGGTCATAGTCAATGCCTTATCACCAACTGGCAATTCCTTCAAGACTGGGTAGATGTCAACTTGGTCGGGCTTCCCAACCTCACCATCCCTGTGACGCGTCTTCTCCTTCCTCAGAAGAAAATCGTGCAACAGGTGGGCACAGAAGATGAAAAAGAGGCGAGTGATGTAGTAGAAGAAGAAAATGTCGATTGCCTTAGGAGACGCAGAATTAGGCACAGAGGAGCTCAGAGTGGAGAAGAGAGTGGCGATAACGATGAGGCAGGTGAGAGCCACCATGATGCGGTCACTGCAGGAAAAATATATTACACAGCAATTAGCTAATTTTAACCCGCAAATCAGACTAGTTTTTCAGTGTATGTTTTTGCAATTGCTCCAAAAACTAGCCTGTAAATACTCATTTTATATTTACCCCTTTAAGACCGAAAAGT